GGCCGCAGAGGTAGAGCATTTCTCACTGGGAAGTGTGCGCTGTTACCGGGAGGAGTTTGATTTTAGCGATCTGGATACTAGGAACTAAAAAAGGCAGAGGCCCAATATAGCCTGATTTTTTTTTTTCAGTCTCTTCAGTCGCTTTCAATGCTGGGCCAAGGTCTAATAAATTACTATTGCTGTGTGTTTTGGCTTTTTTGTTTTTAGATAGTGTCTCTCCCTGTAGCTCTGACGGGCTTGAAACTCAGAGGCTGATTCAGATCTCTTAAGAGATCTCCCAGTCTCTGCTTCAGGAGAGCTGCGATAAAAAGCATGCACGCCTGGTTAAGGTTTTCTGAGCCTTAATCGGGATGCCCTTTTCCAGTTGCAATGCTGCCTGATAATTGCTTATGCTCTGAAGCTGTTTTTCAGTTAAGGAATGAAGCATTAGTGGAGTGTGTTTCCTTTGTTGAACCCAGTCCTACACAGAAGCCCACAAATCTCAAAAGGCAACATCTGAACCAAAACCACCATATCTCTCCAATCTGGCTTCCCTCTTCTTTCTGCTAAATCACTGTGAGGGTGTCTTGCCATGCTTTTCACGTGGCTAAGCCCCCCATCGGCCTTGGGCCTTTGTGGTACACCTAAATATGAATCAAATTAGCAGGAAGACTCAAAGAAGAAGCAAGGCTCCATTTGGAGAGCACTGTCCAAAGTAAACTGTTCCCGTGGCTTCTACAACCTCCCTACCTTCTTCAGCAAAGACACCTAAGCACTGGGTGTGGAACTGTACTGTAGATACAGCCATTTAGACTAGGATCCACAACGCTACCTTTTTTTATTTTATTTTTTAATTTAATTTTTTTCTAAATATTTATTTACTATGTATACAGTGTTCTGCTTGCACACAAGGATAGGGCATCAGATCTCATTACAGATGGTTGTGAACCACCATGTGGTTGCTGGGAATTGAACTCAAGTCCTCTGGAAGAGCAGTCAGTGCTCTAAAGCTCTGAGCCATCTCTCCATCCCCCTTTTTTATTTTTTGTTCTTTTTCTTTTTTATATATTTGAATTACAAACAAGATTGAATTACATGAGGATCCCAGTTCCCTTCTCCCTCCCTTCCTCCGCTACCACCCCCAACTAAAATCCTACCTATCATATCTCCTTTCTTCTAATCTACACCTGACTCAAAATTTCTTTTTCCTCATGACCTCTGCATCCTTCCTTTTCTTCCCTTCTCACTCTCATAGCTTTCTCCCCCTTCTTCAGATGTTCTCAATTTGCTCAGGAGATGGTGAGCATTTCCCCTTCACCAGGGGACAAAATTTGTCTCTTGTACAGTCTTCCTTGTGTACTAGTTTCTCTGTCAAGGTGGATTGTAGGCTGGTAATCCCTTACTAGATGTCTAAAATCCACATATGAGTGAGTACATATCATGTTTGTTTTTTGTGATTGGGTTACCTCCCTCAGAATGGTTTCTTCTAGTTCCATCCATTTTCCTGCAAATTTCAAGATTCCATTGTTTTTTTCTGCTGAGTAATACTCCATTGTGTAAATGTACCCCATTTTCTCTATCCATTCTTTAGTTGAGGGGCATCTAGGCTGCTTCCAGTTTCTGACTATTACAGATAATGCTGCTATGAACATTGTTGAACAGATGTCCTTATTGTATGAATGTGCTTCTTTTGGGTATATGCCTAGGAGTGGAATTGCTGGATCTTGTGGTAGACTGATATCCATTTTCTTGAGGAGTCGCCATACTGATTTCCAAAGTGGCTGTACAAGTTGGCACTCCCACCAGCAGTGGAGAAGTGTTCCTCTTTCTCCACATCCTCTCAAGGATAAACTGTCGTTGGTGTGTTTGATTTTAACCATTCTGACAGAAGTAAGATGGTATCTCAGAGTTGTTTTGATTTGCATTTCCCTGATGGCTAAGGATGTTGAACACTTTCTTATGTGTCTTTCAGCCATTTTAGATACTTCTGTTGAGAATTATCTATTTAGTTCTGCTGCCCATTTTTTAATTGGATTGTTTGGTGTTTTGGAGACTAGCTTCTTGAGTTCTTTGTATATTTTAGAGATCTTTCACCTGTCATATGTGAGGTTGGTGAATATCTTTTCCCATTCTGTGGGCTGCTGTTTTGTCTTGCTGAGTGTCTCCTTTGCCTTACAGAAGCTTCTCAGTTTCAGGAGGTCCCATTTATTACTTGTTGATCTAAGTGTGTGTGCTGCTGGTGTTATGTTCAGGAAGCAGTCTCCTGTGCCGATTAATTCAAGGGTATTTCCCACTTTATCTTCTAATAGGTTCAGTGTGGCAGGGTTTATGTTGAGGTCTTTGATCCATTTTGACTTAAGTTTTGTGCAGGGCGAAAGGCTTGGGTCTATCTGTAGCTTTTAGATGTTTGCAACCAGTTATGCCAGCACCATTTGTTGAAGATGTTCTCTTTGTACCAGCGTATATATTTGGATTGTTTGTCAAAAATCAGGTGTTCATATGTGTGTGGGTTAATATCAGGGTTTTCAATTATATTCCATTGGTCTACCTGTCTATTTTTGTGCCAATACCAAGCTGTTCTCCAGGACCTTTATTATGTTGGATTTTGTCAAAGGCTTTTTTGGCATCTAGTGAGATGATCATGTGATTTTTTTCCTCAGTCTGTTTATATGGTGGATTACATTGATGGATTTTCATATGTTGAACCATGCTTGCATCCCTGGGATGAAGCCTACTTGATTGGATGGATGATTTCTCTGATGTGTTCTTGGATTCAATTTGTCAATATTTGACTGAGAATTTTAGCATCAAGGATCATGAGGGATATTGATCTGCAGTTCTCTTTCTTAGTTGTGTCTTTGGGTGGCTTGGGTATCCAAATTATTAAGGCCTCATAAAAAGAGTTTGGTAATGACCCTTCAGCTTCTATTGTGTGGAATACTTTGAGGAGAATTGGTATTAGCTGAACTTTTAATTTCTGGTAGAATTCTGCCCTGAAGCCATCGGGCCCTGGGCTTTTTTTTTTTTTTTTTTTGGTTAGGAGACTTCTAATGACTGCTTCAATTTCATTAGAGGTTTTAGGTCTATTTAAGTTGCTTATCTGTTCTTGATTTAATTTTATTAAGTGAAATCTGTCCAGAAAATTGTCCGTTTCCTTTAGATTTTCAAATTTTGAGGAATATAGATTTTCAATGTATGACCTGATGATTCTCTGGATTTCCTCTGTGTCTGTTGTTATGACCCCCTTTTCATTCCTGATTTTATTAAGTTGCATGTTCACTCCTTGTTGTTTGGTGAATTTGGATAAAGGTTTTTCTATCTTGTTGATTTTCTCGAAGAACCAATTTTTTGTTATATTGATTCTTTGTATTGTTCTCCTAGTTTCCATTTTATTGATTTCAGCCCTCAATTTGAATATTTCCTGGCATTTGCTCCTCAGGGGTGTATTGGCTTCTTGGTTTTCTAAAGCTTTCGGTTGTGCTGTAATTCTCTAGTGTGATATTCTCCTGTTAGTTCATGTGGGCATTTAGCGCTATGAACTTTCCTTTTAGCACTGCTTTCTAAGTACCCATAGGTTTGGGTGTGTTTTGTCCACATTCTAATTGAATTCTATTTCTTTTTTTATTTCTTCCTGGACCCATGAATTGTGCCATTGGGTGTTACTTAATTTCCATGAGTTTTTAGGTTTTCTGTAGTTCTCGTTGTTTTTGAATTCTAATTTTAAAGCATGGTGGTCTAATAAGACACAGGAGCTTATTTCAATTTTTTGTACCTGTTGAGGTTTGCTATGTTGCCAAGTATGTGGTCGATTTTAGAGAAGGTTCCATGTGGCACTGAGAAGAAGGTAAATTGTTTTGTATTTGGATGGGATGTTCTACAGATATCTGTTAAGTCCAATTGCGCATAACTTCTAGTAGTTCTTTTGTTTCTTTGTTAAGTTTCTGTCTGGTGTTCCTGTCCAGTGGTGAGAGTGGGGTGTTGAAATCTCCGACTATTAGTGTGTGCGGGTTTTATGTGTGATTTGAGTTTTAGTAATGTTTCTTTTACAAACGTGGTTGCCTTTGTATTTGGGGCATAAATGTTCAGAATTGAGACTTCATCCTGATGATTTCTCCTGTGATGAGTAGGAAATGACCTTCTTCATATCTTTTGACTGATTTTTGTTTAAAATCCAATTTGTTGGATCTTTGATTGGAATATCTTTCCCCAACCTTTAATTCTTAGGTACCGTCTGTCTTTGAGGTTGGGGTGAGTTTCTTGTATGCAGCAGAAGGAAGGATTCTGTCTTCTTATCCATTCTGCTAATCTGTGTCTTTTTATAGGGGAGTTAAGACCATTAATGTTGATGGATATTAATGACCATTGATTATTGTTCATTCTTGTTTGTTTTTGATTTGGTGATGGTGGCAAAATTAGGTGTGGGATTCTGTCCCTTTTTTCTTTTGGCTGTTGGTAAATTGTGATTATCTATTGCCTATATTTTTCTGGTTGTAGTTAACTTCCTTGGGTTGCAGTTTTCCTTCCAGTACTTTCTGTAGGGCTGGATTGGTAGATATGTATTGTTTGAATCTGTTTTTGTCATGGAATATCTTGCTTCTCCATCTATAATGATTGAAATCTTTGCAGGGTATAGTAGTCTGGGCTAGTGTCCATGATCTCTTAGTGTAGGTAGAATATTTATCCAGGACCTTCTGGCTTTCAGAGTTTCCATGGAAAACTCAAGTGTGATTCTGATAGGTTTGCCTTTATAGGTTACTTGACCTTTTTCCTTTGATGCTCTTATTTTTTTCTCTTTGTTGGGTATGTTTGGTGTTTTGATTATTATGTGTAGAGGAGACCTTTTTTTGGTTCAGTCTATTTGGTATTCTGTAGGCTTCTTGTATTTTCATTGGCATGTCTTTCTTTAGGTTGGGAAAGTTTTCTTCTATGATTTTGTTGAATATGTTTTCTGAGCCTTTGAGTTGGATTTCTTCACCTTCTTCTGTACCTATTATTCTTAGGTTTGGTCTTTTCACGGTATCCCATATTTCCTGGATATTTTGTGATAAGAACTTGTTGGATTTAAGATTTTCTTTGATTGATGAATCTATTTCCGCTAATGTGTCTTCAACTCCTGAGATTCTCTCTTCCATCTCTTGTATTCTGTTGGTTATGCTTACATCTGTAGTTCCTGATGGTTTACCCAGCTTTTCTATTTCCAGCATTCCCTCATATTGTGCTTTCTTTATTGTCTCTATTTCAGTTTTTAAGTCTTGAACTGTTTCCTTGAGAGATTTGTTGATATCTTGTATTTTTTGGTTTGTTTTTTCTTCCATTTCTTTAAGGGATTTTCTCATGTCCTCTTTGAGGTCCTCTATCATTTTCATGAAGATGCTTTCAAAGTCATTCTCTTCTGATTCATCTGCATCGTGATGTTCAGGTCTTGCTGGTGTATGGTTCCTAGTATCCAGTGATGTCATATTGGGTTTTCTGTTGTTGGATGTCCTTTTACCTTGTCCTCTTATCATCCTTTCTTCTGGTAGGTGTCTTGCTCTCCTGGTGGTTGTGGGATCAAGGTTCTCTTCTGGTAGATGCAAAAAGATCCAATACTCTGATGCCGGTCCTCTTCTGGTGGATGGAGGTGTCACTGTTACCCGGGCATTGGCAGTGTTCGGGTGTGCCGGGTCCCGCCGGGCCGGCAGTTGGAAGCAGAGCTGTCACGGGACCTCGGTGTGTTGGATCTGGCTGCCAAACTTGGTTCAGCATGCAGGTCGCTTGTGTCAGATGACCCTGGGCAGTGATGAATGGGAAACAGCTCCTGGCCTACTTGGGCCAGCAGATGGAGGCAGCCCTGCCTCTGGGTGTTCAGTGTTTGGATCCCGCCGCCGAACTCGGTCCAGCACACAGGTCGCTTGTGTCAGATCCACAACCCTATCTTTTGATTAATAGTTTTGTTATGGAACCCAGGACCACCAGCCCAGAGATGGCACCACCCAAAATGTGCTGGGACCTCCCCCATGGATCATTTATCAAGAAAATGGCTTACAGATGTTATGGAGTCATTTCCTCAACTGAGGCTCCTTCCTTTTTGATGACCCAAAGTTGACACACAATACCAACCAGTACAATACCCTTTATGATTTTTTCAATTTAAATTCATCATGGGACAAAAAATGGGATCAAATTGCTCTCAAAGTCCAATGATAGCCATTTCAAGTCCACAAACAAGAAACTTGGTGGCCTTTAGCTTTTACTACAAAGATCCTGACGTTAGCCAAAGCATGAGTATTAGTGATCCTGCCAATGTGGTAATAGGAGCCAAGATTTAACATCAGGTGGCATGAGTACAGACCATAGCTCTGGCACTTTGGACAACTTGCTGTGTGATTTGGGGTTCTAACTTCTTAATCTTCAGTTCAGAGGTCCAGGTTATCTTGTACCCACGTGGTAATCATTGCAGGATCTGTTGGAACCACATTGGAAGCAGCCCAATATATTGTATAAAAGCAGTCCTGAGTATCAAGAACCACATTGGGAAGCAGGCATGGATACATGCACAGGCCTGACCAGTGTCTCTGATGTCATTCACTGGCATAGGAAACAGTCCTGAATACCATGTGTTCCCATGGGAATGAGACCTAAATAAATTATGTACACGTCCTGGACATGATGTACCCAACTAGAAAAAAGGCATAGAAATCTTGTACCATAGATACCTTATACCTGGAGAATTGGCTCTGAATATTATGTACTTACATGGGAAGGGGTTCTAAATATGTAGTACATGCAAGGGAAGAAGTCCTGAGCATGTTTTACATACATGGGAGGCGGCATGGATTTGTTGATCACCCATGGTAAGCTGTCCTCAGTATGGTGTACCCATATAAGAAGCAGTCATGCATAGCATGTACTTGCATGGGAAGACGTCCTGGATATTATGAACCCATATAGGAACAATTTCTGGATACCATGTACCACATGGTAAGCATCAAGGATTTGTGGGAAACACATTGGGAGCCATCCTGAATATTATATAAAAGCATGGGACCCAGTTCTGGATATCCTACAACCACTTTGATGGAGTCGGGATATCATGTACCTGCCTGAAAAGCAGTCCTTTAGGTCATGTTACCACATAGAAAACAGTCCTGGATATCATGTACTGCATGGGAAACTGCCAGGAATCATGGGTTACTCTGGTCTCATGGCCTTGAGAGGCATGCATCATAGGTGTTTCCAGTTAGAGTCCATGGTTTTTGAAGCACAGTGTGCCTTTCAGTTCCTGAGAAACTGAGACACTCCCTCCGGCAGTGAAGCATTCAGGAAGCCTGTTTCTCTCCATTCCCTAGAAGTCAGCAAAGCATATAGAAATTTGACAATTAGTCTTAGACAATAATCTTATGTATATCTATATAGTATAAAGAGTACTCTGTATAGCTTGCAAACAGCATTATATCCTGGCAACTACAATTGTATTGATCTTGCAACCACCATTGTATTCTGTTTCTGAAAAGAGCATAAAAAGTCTGATTGTATGAAATATACTTGTCACGGCCCTGTTCTGCTGTGATCCCTCCATCCCAGCCTGGTTTTCATTCCCATCAACTATATCATGTAACATTGGCCTGGTTAGTAAGCACTGGCACTTACAGGAAACAGTCTGCATACCATATAAAAGCATTGGAAACTGTGTTGGATATCATTTACCCACATGGGAAGCCATCCAGGATATTATGTGCCTACTTGGCAATCAATTCTGAGTATCATGAACCCACATGAAAGGTAGTCCTTGGTGTCATATTGGCAACTAAGAAGCAGTACTGGTTATCGTGTATCCATATGGAAAGCAGTTCTACCACTTAAGAATCGGTTCTAGATTTCTATAACTGATGTCATGTGCCCATGTTGAAAGCAGTTCTGAATATCATGTACCCAATGATAAGCAGTCAATGTTGGAACTTCATTGGAAGCAGTCCTCTATATCATGTAAGACCTTTGGGTGCTGTCCTAGATACTGTTATCATGTTTGAAAAACAGGCATGGAAATCATGTATAGGCCTGACAATCAGTTTATAATGTCATGGATGGGAGGCAGACCTGGATGTCATGTGTCCATATGGGAAGCAGGCGTGGATATATTATTGTTAGATGGAAATCAGTCCTGGATATGATGTCCCTGCACTCCAAGAATGCAGGACATCATATAGCACCTTGGGTAGTTGTCCAGGATATCATGTATCCATGTAAGACGTAGGCCAAAACATGCAGTACCTCCCAGGGAGGCATTCTTGCATATGTGGTACAGGCATGGGAGACAGTTCTGGATTTGCTGTAGAGCCATGAAAAACAGTCCTTGATATTCTGTGCCTTCATGTGAATCAGTTCTTGATATGTAGTACACACATGGCTAGCAACACTGCATATCATGTACATACATGGGAAGCAGTCCTGGATGTCATATGCTCACATGGCAATAAGTTCTGGATGTCATGTTCCTGCAAGAAAAGTGATCCTAGATATCATGTTACTACAACCTGTGAAGCAAACTGGATATCATGTGCCTAGATATTGATGGAGAGCATGGATATCTGAAGGAGCCGTGGATGTTATGCACCTGCATGGGAAATAGTCCTGGACATCATTTAACCCAATGGGAAGCAGCCCTAGTATCATGTTTATCACCACAAGGGAAACAGTCCCAGATACGTTTACAGACATGGGAAACAGTCCTAGTATCATGTTTACCACCACAAGGGAAGGAGTCCTGTATATCATGTATTCACATTCCTTTGTGCCATGTACCCATATAGAAAATATTCCTGGATACCATGAAACCACATGAAAATAACCCTAAATATCATTTAACTACATGTGAAGCAGTCATGGAAATAAATCCTAGACATCACACAGAAACATGGGAATCAGTCCTGGATATCATGTACCCATGTAGGAACTGTTTTTCATGGGATAAGAATTTCTGGATATCATGTACCACCTAGGGCTGCAGTCTTTGATGTCATGTCTATGATGGGAAGAAGTTCTGTATACCATATACCCATGTAGGAAACTGTCCTGACTGTGTTATATCTTCATGTTACTGCCACTGTGAGGATCAGCCTCCAGCAACACTGGGCTTGATGGGGATCCAACAGAGTTTGAAAACTATTCTATCTGAGAACACCCCACACACACACACACAACACACACACACACACACACACACACACACACACACACACTTGATGATTTCCTTCTGACTTCATTTTTATTCTGTCTCCTTATTTTTCTTCTATATGTTTCCTGGTGATTTCCTTCCCATTCTTAATGTTTCCTTTCTAACTAACTTTGTTTTTTTCCCCTACATCTTATATACCCCAGCAAAACTTTAAAAGGATTATAAAATTGCAATGTGGTTACATTCTATTTTTCAAGTGAATGATTACAAGAAATACAAGTAAAAAATAACATGTTTTACATATAACTTACATGATTAAACATTTTATGTATTGCAGGTGAAAAACAAATTGTCCCAAGAACCCACATATATTCATGTCTAAAAAACTTGTTATAGATTAAGAGTGTGATGAGCAAGCAAGGTCTTTTTCCCAGCCAGTTCTTTTTTTTGTGTTGTTTTTGTTTTTTTTTTTTTTTTGTTATCTCCTTTTTTTTCTTTTGCCTTTTAAAATTTGAATTATAAAAAGCTTCATTTACATGTCAATCCCAGTTACCTCACCCTCCCCCCTCCTCCCCTGCCCCCCACCAACCCCCTATCCCATACACTTTCTGCTCCCCAGGGAGGATGAGGCCTTCCATGGGGGATCTTCAAAGTCTGTCATATCATTTGGAGCAGGGCCTAGGCTCTCCCCCATGTGTCTAGACAGAGAGAATATCCTTCTATGTGGAATGGGTTCTGAAAGCCCATTCATGTACTAGGGAAAATACTGATCCACTACCGGAGGCCCCATTGATTAACCACACCTCCATACAGACATCCTCCTTCAGGGGGTCTGGAACAGTCCTATGCTGGTTTCCCAGCTATCAGACTGGGGTCCAAGAGCAACCCCTTGTTCAGGTCTGCTGTTTCTGTGGGTTTCTACAGCCTGGTCTTGACCCATTTGTTCATCACTCCTCCCTCTCTGCAACTGGATTCCAGAGTTCAGCTCAGTGTTTAGCTGTGGGTGTCTGCTTCTGCTTCCATCAGCTACTGGATGACGGCTCTAGGTTGGCATATAAGGTAGTCATCAATCTCATTATCAGAAAAGGGCTTTTAAAATAGCCTCTCCACTATTGCTTAGATTGTTAGTAGGGGTCAACCTTGTAGATATTTGGACATTTCCCTAGTGCCAGATTTCTCTTTAAACCTATAAGGCTCCCTCTATTATGGTATCTCATTTGTTGCTCTCCTGTATTCTTCCCTTGACTCAATCTTCCTGCTCTCTCTTGTATTCTTCTCCACTTATCTTTCTTCTAACTCCCTCTCCCCTCTCCTCATGCTCTCAATTAGCTTAGGAAATCTTGTCCCTTGCTCCTTCTTCAGGGAACCATGTATGTCTCTCTTAGGGTCCTCCTTGTTTCCTAGCTTGTCTGGTGGTGTGGATTGTAGGTTGCTACCTATTTGCTCTAGTTCTAAAATCCATATACGAGTGAGTTACATACCATTTTTGTCTTTGTGACTGGGTGACCTCACTCAAGATGGTTTCTACTAGTTCCATCCATTTGCCTGTGATTTCATTGTTTTCTCCACTGAGTAGTACTGCATTGTGTAAATGTACCACATTTTCTCCACACATTCTTCAGTTGAGGGGCAAGTTCAGTTGCTTACAGGTTCTGGATATTACAAATAGTGCTGCTATGAACATCGTTAAACAGATGTCCTTGTTGTATGAATGTGCTTCTTTTGGGTGTATGCCTAAGAGTGGAATTGCTAGATCTTGTGGTAGACTGATTCCCATTTTCCTGAGGAATCGCCATACTGATTTCCAAAGTGGCTGTACCAGTTGGCATTCCCACCAGCAGTGGAGGAATATTCCCCTTTTTCCACATCCTCTCCAGCATAAACTGTCTTTGATGTTTTTGATTTTAGACATTGTGACAGAAGTAAGATGCTATCTCAGAGTTGTTTTGATTTGCATTTCCCTGATGGCTAAGGATGTTGAGCACTTTCTCATGTGTCTTCCAGTCATTTTAGATTCCTCTGTTGAGAATTCTCTATTTAGTTCTGCACTCCACTTTTTAATTGGAAGGTTGGTGTTTGGTGACTAGCTCCTTGAGTTGTTTGTATATTTTGGAAATCAGCACTCTACCAGATATAGGGTTGGTGAATATCTTTTCCCATTATGTGGGATGCCGTTTTGTTTTGTTGACTGTGTTCTGATGGGAGAAGTCCTTCTGTATATGTTTATCTTATTGGATGTTGAATAAAGCACTGTTGGTCAATAGGAAAGCCAGATAGGTGGGACTAGGAGTTGAGGAGGATTCTGGGAAATGTAGTAAACAGCAGTCCTGTGATCCAGACAGGAAGTGAAATAACAGGCAGACAGACTCAAAATATAAGCAGGAACAAGCAGGAAGTTGCTCTCTTCCTCCTTCTCTCTTCTCTGGGGGGTCACCATGTGGTCGCCCAGCAAGACAGAATTCTGCATCTGCTTCTATCAGTTACTGGATGAAGGTTCTATGATGATAATTCAGGTAGTCATCAATCTGATTACAGGAGAAGGCCAACATCTTCATGTCACATGGCACTGGCGTCCTCCATAAGATAAGTCTTTATAAAATATATAAATTAATAGTTATGGTTGATAATTAAGACTGATCTAGCAGATAAAAATACTAGTAATTGACCAGCAGCATTGTACTTAAAATAAGACTGTGTGTGTTACTCTGGGTTCCCAGTGCTGGCAGGGCTAGGGAGGCTGGCAGGAAGAGTTTCTAGTTACAATGTCCTTTGCCTTACAAAGCTTCTCAGTTCCAGGCGGTACCATTATTGTTGATCTCAGTATCTGTGCTAGTGGTGTTATGTTCAGGAGGCAGTCTCCTGTACCAATTCATTCAAGGGTACCACCTACCTTCTTTTCTAAGAGGTTCAGTGTGGCTGGATTTATGTTGAAGTCTTTGATCTGTTTGGACTTAAGTTTTTCACATGGCATTAGATATGGATGTATCTGCAGTCTTCTGCACGCCAGCATCCAGTTATGCCAGTACCATTTTTTGAAGATGCTTTCTTTTTTCCATTGTATAATTTGTCACCCACATTCCAATGGCCTAGTTTGGTTTTATGCAGGTTCCCCCCCTGCCAGTCCAGAGTCAGTGAGCTCCCAGTAGCTCAGGTCAGCTGTTTATGTGAGTATCCCCCAAATGGTCTTGACTGAGTAGCTCCTTCCTCTCTTCAGTTGAACTCTGGGAGCTGGTCCCAGTGCTTAGGTGTGGATTTCTGCATCTGCTTCTATCAGTTACTGGATGAAGGTTCTATGATGATAATTCAGGTAGTCATCAATCTGATTACAGGAGAAGGCCAACATCTTCAAGAAATAGTGCTGGCATAACTGGATGTTGACATGTAGAAGAACGCAAATAGATTCATGTCTATCCCCATGCATAAAACTTACATCAAAATGGATCAAAGACCTCAGCATAAATCCAGCAATGCTGAACATCTTAGAAGAGAAAGTGGGAAATAGTCTTGAATGCATGGGCACAGGAGACCACTTCCTAAATATAATACCAGTAGCCTAGACATTGAGATCAATGATTAACAAATTGGACCTCCTGAAACTGAGAAGCTTCTGTAAGGCAAAAGACACAGTCAACAAGACAAACAGCAGCCTACAGAATGGGAAAAGATCTTCATCAACCCCACATCTGAGTCTGATCTCCAAAATATACAAAGAACTCAAGAAACTAGACATCAAAATGCTAAATAGTCCAGTTTTTAAAAATGGTATACAGCTCTAAACGAGAATTTTCAACAGAAGAATCTCAAATGGCTGAAAGACACTTAAAGAATTGCTCAACATCCCTAGCTACCAGCAAAACAACTCTGAGATTCTTATATCTGCAAGAATGGCTAAAATCAACAATGTTAATGACAGCTTATGGAGAGGATGCAGAGTAAGAGGAACATGAGCCCATTGCTGGTGGGAGTGCAAACTTGTACAGTCACTTTGGAAATCAGTAGGGTGGTTTCTCAGAAAATTAAGTATAAATCTACCTGAAGACCCAGCAATACCAATCTTGTACATATATCCAAAGGATTCACTCTCATAGAACAAGGAAATTTGTTCAACTGTGCTTATAGCAGAATTATTGGTAACAGCCAGAATGTGTAAACAACCTAGATGTCCTTCAACTGAAGACTGGATCAAGGAAATGTGGTACATTTACACAATGGAGTACTACTCAGCAGTAAAAACAATGGCATCTTAAAATCCGCAAGCAAATGGATAGAACTAGAAGAAACAATCCTGAGTGAGGCAACAGACACAGAATGAAAAACATGGTATGTACTCACTCATATCTGGATATTAGACATAGAGCAAAGGATTACCAGCCTAAAGCCACAAACCCAGACAAGCAAGGAAACAAGAAGGACCCTAAGAGACATGTGCATGGACCCCCACTCCCAAGAATGAGAAATGGACAAGAATTCCTGCGTAAATTTGGAGTGTGGGTGAGGCAGAGGATAGTAAGAGTGTAATCAGGGGAGAAAAGGGCAAGAGTAGAGAACATAAGTGATCAGAAAGGTAGAGTTTGGGAAGGACAGAGAAGGAGAGCAATGAAAGAGATTCCTTGATAGAGGGAACCATTATGGGATTAACAAGAAGCCTATCACTAGGGAAATTCCCAGGAATCCACAAGGATGACCCCAACGAAGAATCTAAGCAACAGTGGAAAGGCTACCTTAACTTCCCTTCCTCTATAATGACACTCACGACTACCATAATTGCCATCATAGAGTCTTCATCCAGTAACTGTTGGAAGCAGAAACAGAGATTCACAGCTAAGCACTTGGCCAAACTCCTGGAGTCCAGTTGTAGAGAGGGAGGAGTAATGAGCAAAGGGGTCAAGACCATGTTGGGGAAACCCACAGACAGATGACCTGAGCAACTGGAAGCTCACTGACTCTAGTTTGACAGCTTGGGAACCTGCATAAGATCTAACTAGGGCCCTGAATGTGAGTGTGACTGTTAGGGGTCTTGGGCAGTTTCTGGGGCTACTGCAGTGGAAACAGTAATTATCCCTCATGCATGAACTGGCTTTTTGGAACCCATTCCCTATGGAGGCATACCTTGCTCAGCCTAGATACATGGTGGAGGGCCTTGGTCCTGCCCCAAATGATGCAACAGACTTTTGATGATTCCCCATGGAAGGCTCACCCTTTCTGAGGAGTGGATGGGGAGTTTGGTGAGGGAGATGGTGGAAGGAGTGGGAAACTGGGAGGGAAAGGGAACTGGGATTGATATGGAAAATAAGATTGCTTTAAAAACTAAAAACTGCAGTACTTATTACCCTCCTTGTAAATGATATCCAATACTGCTCCCTGTGCAGGCATATGATAATAATCTTAATATGTGATAATATTCATGATTTCCTCCATGCAGGAACACAATATCCTGGACTTCCCATGTGGACACCTCCTAAAGGGTACTGATAACCCAGACTGTTCTTGATATCCAGTAATTTTTCTCATGTGAGTAGAAATGTCATGGACGGCTTCCCAAAAGCTACATATAATCCAGGACTTCTTCCCATGCGGGTATATTATACACAAAATTTCTATGCATGCTTATATATGTTATTCAGAACTTAATTAATTAGAGATATCTCATATTCAGTACTTTTTCCCATTAAGGTACGGGGTATCTAGGACTTTGTCCCATTCAGATACATGACATCATGCACTGCTCCTGATTGGGTACTGCTGGAGTCCTGCTCCAGGTGCAGCAGGAAAGACGTATGAAGTCAGTGAAGAATGAAGAGTCTGACCAGCAGTTGCCTTTCAAATAGATGGCCCCGAATAGCTTGAGCTGTCTTTATTTATACAAGTTCTAATGTATTTAAACATGAGACGTTTCAATTCATTTCTCTTTAATCATTTTCTAAGAATCATTTACATTTACCAATTTTAGTTTCATTTCCTCTACCCCACTCCCTTCATGTCATTGACCTTTACCCCATATCATTAATTTTATATTGCAAGACAAATGGTTATACCTAGCCAGGCACATCTTACTCATACTGTGCCCTAGCCAGCAGTAAACATGAAACTACAAAATAAAAGAAATTCAAGCCCTATGATTAGTCCTATACTTTTGCAATCACCAGAGTGTATGACACCATACCTAGGATATTATTTTCAAGTGTAAGTCAATTTCTGAATATCTGTATATTGCTTGTATGTGGACAACAGTTGTCATCCTATTCTTTAAATATTATGAAAATGGTAATGATGTCCTAACTCTTTAACTGTTGGGATCAAGTTTCTATTCTTTCTGGCAGTTTCTACATGTACTTTTACAACCAAGGGAATGGGGAAATTTAGATTCCTTTATTGATATTTTGGCACTAAAAAAATATCTAACTATGCATGCCCTGGCACCAAGGAGATTTCTGGCTTTTCATGTCCTTTATCTTTTCCTTATGTGTTCCTATAAATTTTTAATGTCATCTTTTAGGAAACTATCTCCCAAGATCATACATTCTTTGGAATATAGTTAT